TAGCTGTGACAGTTATGAGTGATAAAGGAAACTGTCCTCAATTCCTTGTCTAGGCATATAACATGGAAAATAAAATCTTTTTTTTTTTCAAATCTTGAAGACATTGCTTTGGCTTCCGAAAGACTCAATTTTGAATTGTATCAAAAGTCTTCAAAGAAAATAACCAAAGTATGAAGAAATGGGATATTTGTACTGACAGTGACACTGAGGATCACAATAACAAATGACAACAATAGAAAATATTTTCAAAATAAAAAACACATGCCTCATTCAGCACCAAATACTGGCTTCTAAATTCTGCCCTTCAGGAGTATAAAAAAGGAATCTTGTCTGAGGAGTGCTTGGTGCTCTCTAAGCTTGGTTGTTTTCTTGCAAGCATTTTATAACCCAAACTAGGTAATTGTCTATGGAGATTCTCAGACATCCAAGGTCATGGTTGTCCCAAAGGCGCTTTTTCAAAAGGCAGCTGGCCCTTGTTTTTCCTTGAAGCGATCTCATTTCTCATCCAAGCTTTTTCTAATGATGATGATAAAAAGGGAAACATTTTCAAGGAAAAACAAAGTCCAGCTGCCTTTTGAAAAGCACCATTGGGCCAAACTAGGTAACATGATCAGTGCTAGCTTCCCTTATTGGAATCTTGCCTTAATTTATTTGCTTTATGAAAATTTGGGAACTGGTCACAGAGTTTCCACACTGAGGTTTCTTATTAAAGAGAACTATGTTTAGACAGTCTGCATGATATGAAAGAAGAGGCCACTTTATTTTGGGAATATTGTGGAAAAGATCAAATGATTGAGGCTTACAAAAACCATAGTTTTCAGTTGAAATTGACATATATGGCAATAGAAGCCTTGAACAAAGGAACCTATAGCTTCAAGAAGCAAGTATCAGAATTACTTTATTCCCAACTCACTATGTATGGTGAAGCAAATGTAAGACTTTATACTTATTAACCTGGGTTACACAACTACGCTGAACTATACTGGATTAGACATGCCACTTCAGCTGGAACTTGTAAAAGAATCTTAACCTTTTATTTATACAAGAAATGTATTGTAGGGAAACCATCTCCAACAACTGGAGAATCTGCAATTTAAACATTTGTACTGATGCTGTATTACTACATGTATCAAGATTTCATTTCAGGAAAAAGAACAGGGTTATATTGTCTTTGTTGTTTATGCAAGTCATGATTTGGCATCGCTGGTTCTAAGGTTCAATACTACTGAAGATTTCTGGAGAAAAGACAGTTACAATAAAGTTGTACATAAACATTGGGTCTCTACTTGGTCTTGATAGTGTGATTTCTAAGATCAGCAGATGGCAGCCCTCAGTACTGAGGGAATCCTTCAAGGCAATAACTTTGGTTCAGATTTGGATAAATCAGACCAAATCTGTTACTGATATGCCATGTTAGACAGCAGTGGAAACCATTAAAGAGGCTAGGTGATTGATAATTAAGATTAATAATTAGGATTAAACATCAAAATGTGAAATCCTCAGATTTAGGATAACAGCACATAGTAGTGTCATCATAACTGCTATCTTTGTGGTTTGACGTGTTAGAAAATGCTTTTAACACATATTTTTCAAAATATAAACCCAAAAATTTTACTATAGTGACCTCTACATATTGAATAATTGAAGGTTGATTGATAAAGGTTCACAGGAGACCATTCTCTATAAATCTGTAAAGTATGCTATGTTGAATTTTTCTTGCAGAGAAATTGATTGAATGAATCTGAAATATAAATCAAATGAACCGATTTCTGGGTTCTTTGAATTCAGGTAATTTTTTTGAGGATGAACTGAGCTTCAAAAGGAGAAATTTATAATTAAATGTAAGTACAGGATCCTAATGGAGCTACAGTTTTATTAGTGAGGACAAAAGGGATGGTTTTCTACATAATAGTAGTAGTACAAAGAATTTCATAAGCTCAACACTGTAGCTTTCTTAATTATCAGTGATCAGCTGCAAAGGAGCAATGTTGAAGTTTTACTCCCATTAGGAGGTCTATGGCATAAGGTTTGCAGAGGGCGTTTTTGGTACCGAAGGAGGGAAACCAGTTGCTTAATCTAGAGCTGCACCATATCCATAAGTCAAATTTAAACAATGACTGCTGATATGGTCACCACTACCGTGCTCTCTCTAAATTTAACTCCAAATTCAATCAGCATGTCCTGAAAAACATGGTCTCTATGTGACAATATTTTAATGGGAACAGAGACCTAACAGGAATGAAAACAAACCATATCCTAGTCTATCAATTACATTTTAAACAGGAGATATAGAATACAGAGTAAGCACATCCAGAAATACGAGAAAATTTTGTTGATCTAGGAAAATCCATTTGACTGTTTGTTCATTCATTGTTCCATGCACCAACAACATACAATGGGGAATGTCTCATTCAATCATTTATCAGTCATATTATTACTTCTCCCAGTTTCCATAAACAAAACTTTCCATAAAGGAAACTTTATTCTTTTTCCACTGGAGCAAGAATAAAATGAAAGTGTCACGCTGTTGTGATCAGACATTACTACAGAAAAAGGAGACCCAGAAAGACCCTAGTTTGAGATGCCTCTCTAAACCATCTTGATTGTGAAAAGCATCGGTCAACATTTCAGCCAACCCTTCATATGACCAAATGAAAATGCGACAGGTTGCTTAACTACAAATCTACAACTACAAATGGGGTACAGGTAGTCCTCAACGTATGATTACAATTGAACCCAAAATTTATGTTGCTAACTGAAACTTTTGTTAAATGAGTTTTAACCCATTTTATAAGCTTTCTTGTCACAACTGTTAAGTGAACCACTGCAGTTGTTAATTTAGTAACATGGTTGTTAAGTTAATCTGGTTTCCCCATAGACTTTGCTTGTCAGAAGGTTGCCAAAGGGGATCACATGACTTTGGGACACAGCAACAGTCATAAATATGAACCAGTTGCTGAGCATTTGAATTTTGATGATGTGACTACACGGTTATCATAAGACCCTTTTTTCAGCACCACTATAACTTTGAGAAGTCACTAAATGAACTTTTGTAAGTTGAGGACTACCTGTATCAGAATGCCATCAGATTTACTTCCGCTTAGGGTAAATTGGATGTATAAACTGATCTGTTTTTCTGTTTGTAGAACATTCTAAAATTTATATTAACTCTTTCATAAATCAATAAATGTAAAACCTTGGGGGTGAGGGAACAGAGCTCAATGTTAGCAGGAATCTGTGCTGGGCAAGTGACTCAGGAGGGACCCTCCCTGGTGTCTTGGGCTGTAAATGGTTCAAAGAAGGGGAAAACGTATTTTCAAACTTGCAATATTCTGTTTATGCTATCTTACAATAAAGAAGAATTAGCTCATCTGGCTGTACCTCATGCCTGGTCTGCCTCACAAGGCTGACATAACTACACCTATTCAATCATTTCCATCTTCTTGCTGATGTTGTCTTTAAATAAGTTAGAAAATAAGTGAATGGAGAAAATGTCTTCCCAGTTTTTGTATTAGTTCCTTTTATGACCCAGCTTGTTAACAATATTGGTAATTAACTACTTTAAAAAATAAAGAGGGATAAGAAAAATGCGGCAAAATTGAAGACCACAGCCTAGGAAAGTCTTTCCTAATCAAAGAATATGGAAAAGACTTCTTTGTAGAATGAAACTTCCTTTATTCATAGTTCATTCTGTCATTTTGAAAGCTGCATCCATTATATTTTGCCATTACTGGTGGTTTTCCAGAACAATGCTTCTTATTTTCTATGTCTAATTAATAGCTACATGACTGCATTCAAGCTGGTGACATCTTAGAAGGATGTTTTTAATATCCTATGACTAAACAAAAATACAAACAGGAAGTTGGAAACATTCAAGCGTAAGTATTGCCATTTCCCCAGTCCATGGCTTTAATGAAACAGTGACTATACTGAAGCTTTATTCTAAGCAAAGACCTCCAATCCAACTGAAGCTCTGGCTCCAGATGTTGACCTACATACATATTCTGCAAAGGGACATAGCAGGTAAGCCTTGGACGACGCTATGCCAAGCAGGACCAAGCTAAGCAAATCTTAAAAGTTATATACCAACCAGAAATATGGTTCTCTTTTTTATTTAAGAAATTAAAAAGTTCTTTAAAAAATGAAGGAAATGATATTTCCTTGAAGAAATGAAGTCTGAACAAGAAAAGCTAAAAAGTGGGAGGAGGATTTGCATCTGCTTAAATGTGGGGATTTGCATCTGCTTCAATGTGAATGCAAAATAAACCCCCAAAACAAACAACAACAAAAACCAAATCATGATTCCTTGTCTTCACAGTAAATATGAATTCACTTCTGGTACCAAAGTTCTATCATAATATACCATCAAAACATGGAAGAAAATTTCTGCTTGCTAGTAAGCAATTGCTAATTTAAACATGTGTAATTCCTATTCCTATAGGATTTTTAAAAAAGACCTTGGTATTTAAAACATGATAAAGCATAGTCTCCTTTGGAAAATTCCTTTTTCTTTGATAGCCTATTAATCAATCTACTCAAACTGACAAACACTGACAAGCACTGGTCAAGGCTCAAGAGCTGAAAAGTTAAAAAATATTGATTTACCTTTGTTATGAATGTTTGTTATACTTTCCTATTATGTATATACATGCAAACCCATTTCTTAAGTGGGAAACAGGCTAAAGGGATTACACAATGTTCGAGAACAGGATTATACTACTAGTCTACCACAGTCAAAAATCTTAGATTGAAATGTAGTAAAATTATTTTGCAATAGTTTATTTTACAGAATTATGTGGATTAAAACAGTCTAGCAAGACTTGATGTACTGAACCTCTATAAAAGTAGCCTAAAGGAATAAACAACGAAAACCTATCACAGAACAGAATCTGGATTTTTTTTAATACAGCAGCATTTAACTTAAAACTGATTAAAGACAGAGTGATTTTTCTATCTTCATATAAGAACAATTGTAAAAAGAAAATTCCTTTAAAAATGTACCACTTCCAATGCCTTTATTTTCCATAACTTTGTGAAATTAAATGCATGAAGCTACAAAATTAGCAATTGGTTTGAAATTTGTATACAAAACATAAGTTACCTCTACTTTTAAACTCATTTTTGTACCACTACAAACTTTTAAAAGTGGCACCCAAAATAGCTGTATACCATTCTAAAAAAGGGCACTATTCCTTTAATATTGTACTCTCCCATTTCCCAACACCCAGATCAAAATAGACAACTAGTCATCCTGTTCACGAACATTTCCAAGGTGAGATTTCATATTACGTTCCCATAATTTCTGGTTATCAGAAAACCCGTGTTTTCCTTTGTTGAAAGAATTTGGTCCTGCTGAAGTTGGAGTATCCCTGTAAATGAACAAAAGTAATTGGGTTACCTTTACTAATGTAGTACTTTAGATAAAAATATTTCAAGAGGCTAATATTAGAAAGTGAGAATGCCATATTTATATGCAATTGGCAGCAGTTACTTTATAATCCTGAAATCCAAAACTATTATATTTGGACACACTTTCTTATGGCAGAAGGTAAACACACACAAAAATGTTCAATTGCTGAAAGCTAGAAAGGATAAATCACAAACATGGTATGTATAAATTCCAATTTATAGTCCCTGACTTATTTGGAAATAACTCTAGAAGAGCTACTTAAGATTTAGCTTAAGCACATAGCCAATTAACTAATATAATGAATATTGTTCTAGCATTTTCCAATAATGTTACTTTGAATGTTACCTTCCAATGTTCTTCATACGCATTTTAGCTTCTGGAGGCATCTCTTCAGGTTCACTCTAAATGAAAAGACAACATGAACATAATTATTTAGTTTATATTATAGATTGTTTTTGAAGGGCCTATTTGTTATTTTATGCTGATCTTGAATGTCAGTGCCAGCATATAATCAATGATACATTTTGTTCCATTCAAACTTAATAATTTGTTAAAAATGTCATCCAACCTAAAATTTGTGGTTTAAAATCTTGTATTAACATTAGAAAGACACAATACAGCTCTTGTAGCTAAGGCAGCATACTGCCCCTAACCTACACAATCATTGACATTTAGAGCTATGTGGCTCTAAAGTGCTGCTAAAGCTGCACTTCTTTAAAAGCCTTTAAACCAGACATATTTTCCTTAGGATCGATTGGCAACTATGTGATCATGGATAAAGGCATAGTTTTTTTGTTTTGTTTACTATATTCTTACAATTAAATGTGTACATGACTCAACTATCAACTACTGCAAGTAGTTCCCAAATTTTTAAAAAACTTCCAAAAAATAAAATACAATAGTAAAAACAAGGAACATAAGATCACAAAACATGCTTAAGAATAAGACACAGACCCACACTACCCAGAAGGCCTCTTCAATTACCCTCTGGATTTTCAAGGTCTCCAAAACAAACAGCAAATAGAATATTTAACAGGCTATAAATCTGTACTACATTCACATTCCTCCATATTTCTCAGTTACTTACATCTTCATCTTCATTGAATACTGCTGCTACAGAGAGTGTTTTTGGAGCTAAAGTTGGAGCAGGTTCTTTAGGTTTCTGAAAGGCAGAATTTTATTGATGCAAAAAATCAATAGAATAGAAATTAGTAATTAAAAGCATGCTACAAACTTTAAATAAACTAAGTTACTAAACACAAATTCACATTTTACTAGAGTTCTACATTTCCCTACCCCATAGTACATGGGGAATTGTTTCCCAAACAAGACAGTTCAATTTTTATACAACTAAAACTCTCATTCCTGTAATTTTTAACAGGGCGAAAGAGTACATCATAGGACAACAATTTTTGAACCAAGATTTACCTCAAATGGACTAATTTATAAAGTGTGTGCAACATCAGGGACCCATGACTCCCACGGGACTGAAATTTGGCAAATCTTATGAAACAGTTTATGGTATAAATATTATAAAAGAGTTTTCTGATATAATGCAAATGTCATAAAACATTTCCTGTACTCATGTTTGAAAGTGCTATACAGTTTAACTTCGGCTATTTTTAAAGATAAATATATATCTAAATGTATCCCAACTTTTCTAGTAAAGCAGTGCATGATAAGTTTTGTCACTGTTGAAGGTATTGAGGAATCTGGTATGGAAATATCTCTCAAAAGATGATTTGATGGGCCGTGAATTGTCTCCACTGCACTAAATTCAGCTACTGAAAGAACATAAATAAGAACATATGACTCTATATACTTTATGAAAAACAAATATATTTTTAATTATTTTTCCTGATTTGCTGCAGCATCAAGATTTATATATGATGTTTTTCTACTACTATACATCACCAGAATGTGGCTATTGGAGCTTGACAATGGCACCTTTATTGTAAAATGCTCTCTGAGACAGATTCCCCCTCTGCTTACTTTACTGTTAATTTGGTGACTTGGCCAAGTAACTTTTCCAATGTTTACTTTAAAAAAAACTTTATAAAGTTTAAATGGTTTTGAACTTCTGTAAATATTTTTATTGACAATGTATGTAAGCAAATGAATACTTATGTATGTAAGCAAATGAATATTTATTATACTTCTAATCCACACAATAACTCAAATAACTTTTCGTAAGTTTTCCTAGAAAAGGTGACTGCCACTAAAGTGAAAAGTATTTGATTTCTACAAGGTTTTTGTAATAATAAAAAACAATAAAGATAATAGGACAGCCTCTTGAGTAAGGCTCATTTGCTTTTTTTTCTTCCAGTCAGCACTGTCTTCTAGCGAATGCCTAGGCAACATGTTGCAGTTTTGTTGGCAATGTTTTTTTGCTACTGCTTTCATCTGGCTGTGAGTGTGTGACTGGCAAAAGGTTATCTAGCTGACTTCATAAGACAGCATTAGAACTCATGGCCTCCTGGTTTCTAGCCTGGTGCCTTAACCAATATCACACTGGCTCTCTAAGCTACTACTTTATATTCTTATAAATGAATTTATATATCTTTAATTAAAGCTAAAGTATTAAAAATTAGTATTTATTTTTGTCATTATATAATATTGCTAAGTTATGCACTCACCACAACACTACAGCAAACACTAGAATAAAAATTATCAAATTACCATTCCTAATTCCATGTTCCATAAATCTTACAATTGTTCATCAAAATGAAAATAAAAATCATTTATAATACACATAACTGAATTAAGATGAAATTAACTTTAAGACTACTTTTAAGGTCAAAATAATATTGATCCACTGAAATACTAAACATTACAAATTCAAAACATTTTCCAACAACTTACATTTGCTCCAAGTTTGATGGATATTGCAGGTGGTTTCTTTGAAAGCTGTGAGCCAATGGCAAACCCAAACTTGGACATTTTGGCAGGAGCAGGCTTTGTTGAGAAGTCTTCAGCATCTTCATCAGCTGCACGTTTTTCCACACTACGACTCGAACTTTCCCCTCCATTACTGGAAGAAACAGTCTTAGTTTTCACAGGTTTTTCTGCCTCTTCTTCAGGTCCTGGTGAAGTCGAAACAACTTACCAAGATGAGCTATTTTTACTGAGTGGACTGATGGGAGCAGCAACCTCATAAAGCACTGTTATTCAGAGGCGACTTTTGCACTTACAGTGTCAGCACCTCCACAACTGTTTATACAGAGCACACTGTAAGGACATAGACATATAGTGAAGGGAGCTCCTATCACTTAGCTAATGCAGAAAAAAAATTAATTATATATGTAAATGTATTTTAAAAATCATGCATCTGCATGACATCCCTACAAAAATTGTGTTATTTCAAATCAAGACAGAATAAACCCATGGAAATAACTGAAATATATAACTTTTAAAATATAAATTTATGCTGTCTTGAATTGCAGAATGATAAAAAGATAATAAAACTGAAAATTCTAACATTTAAACCACAAATATTTATGCCACAATATAAATATTAGAACTAGAAATTGTCACAAAGCTTACGATTGACTTATTGCCACAAAAAACAAAGTTTGTATTGGCTAGGTGAAATTTAGTAATGAGAGATTTTATTTAGCTAGGTTTTAAACATCGTAGTTGTTGTTGGCTGGAGTTTAGATGATTCCCCAAAAACTAAGCAAAGCTGGACTAGATACTATTGGCATGGAAAGGCACTGGCAAATTCTAGAGACTATACAAGAAGCTGAAATAACATTCTGAAGTAAAGAAATAACAAATTATGTTGATAATTTGGCAAGAAAACAATATGAATATGTCTGTAAAGGCATTATGAACCAAGACCAACATGACAATGCATCTCCTTTTTATCAACCAAGAATTTGCCCAAGATGTGCATGCACTCCAAATAAAGTAATCATTCTGTTCATCTGGATAACTGCTGTTGGTAAGTTTTGATTTTTTTTTTACATTCCTTAAAATATTCCAGTGCATTCAGAAAGTATTCAGACCCCCTTCCCTTTTATCAATTTGTTATGCTGTAGCCGGATTCTACAGTTGTTGAAATTCCTTTTTTTCCTTATAATCAGTATCCCTTAATGACAAAGTGAAAGCAAAATTTTACAAATATGTGTAAATTTATTTAAAAAAGAACTGCATTGGCATAAATATTCAGACCTTTCACTCAGTACTTTGTTAAAGCACCTTTGGCAGCAATTTCAGCCTCAAGTCTTTTTGGGTAGGACTCAACAAACTTTGCACATCTGGATTGGGGGAATTTTCTGCTATTATTCTTTGCAAATCCTCTCAAGCTCAGTCAGGTTGGACCATCGATGGACAGCCATTTTCAGGTCCCTCCAGAGATGTTCAATAGGATTCAAAGGGTTCTTTCTGGTTGGGCCACTTAAGGACATTCACAGAGTTGTCCCTAAGTCACTTCTGTGTTGTCTTGGTTATGTGCTTAGAATGGTTGTTGTGTTGGAAAGTGAATCTTTGGCCTAATCTGAGGTCCTGAGCTCTGTGAAATAAGTTTTCATTGAGGATATCCCTGTACTTTGCTCCATTCTGCTTTCCCTCAACCCTGACCAGTTTCCCAGTCCCTGCTTCTGACACCACCATGCTTCACTGTTGGGATGTTATTAGGCAGGTGATGAGTGGTGCCTGCTTTCCTCTAGACATAACAATTAGAATTGAAGCCAAACAGTTCAATCTTGGTTACATTAGAGCAGAGAATCTTGTCCCTCACAGTCTGATAATCCTTCAAGTACTTTTTTTACAAAATTCAAACTTTCATGTGTTTTCATGTGTTTTGCACTAAGGAGAAGCTTCCGTTTAACTGCCAAAAAGCCCAGATCAGGGAGGGCTGCAGTGAAGGTTGTCCTTCTGGAACTATGTCCCATCTCCAAACAGGATTTCTGGGGTTCAGTCAGTGACCATCTGGTTCTTGTTACCTCTCTTATTAACACCCTTCTTCCTGATTGCTCAGCCTGACCAGGCGACTAGCTCTTGGAAGAGTGCTGGTTGTGCCAAACATCTTCCATTTGACAATTATGGAGGCCATGATGCTCTTAGGAACTTTCAATACAGCAGAAATTTTATTGTGCCCTTCCCCATATCTGTGCTTTGCAATAATCCCATCTCTGAGCTCTGCGGGCAGTTCCTTTGATCTTTGCTTTTGCTCTGCTACAGTATGCATTGTCAGCTATGAGGCCTTCTGTAGAGAGGTATGTGCCTTTCCAAATCATGTCCAACCAATTTAATTTACCACAGGTCAACTCCAAGGTGTAACAATATGTCAGCAATGATAAAAAAAAATGGAGGCATCTGAGCTAAATTTCAAGTGCAAAGCGTCTGAATACTTATGCCAATGTGATGTTTCAATTATTTTTCTTACTAAATTTACAGGCATTTGTAAAATTCTGTTTTCACTTTGTCATTATGGGGTACTAAGTGTAGACTAATGATAAAAATGAATTTCAACAACTGTAGAGTCAGACTGCTGCATAACAAAACTGACAAGGGAGTCTGAATACTTTCTGAACGCACTATAGCCATTGCCCTCAGGGATTTGGCCTCCTTTGAAACTTCTAGGGCTGTGATGGAGAACCTATGCCATGCGTGTCGGAAGTGGCATGCAGACCCATCTCTCTGAGTATGCCAGCTGTCACCCGCTGCTCTTCTAGGTTCTGGCGCACGCATGTATGTTGGCCAGCTGGTCTTTGCGAGTGGGGGAGTGCTGGAAACCGAAAAAGCAGCTTCCTGGAGCACATATGGGCACTAGCCAACTGGTCTTCACACGCATGTATGAATGTTAGAAACTGGAAGACTAGGTGGCCGGCATGGATGCACACGCCAGGGAGCTAAACTTCCGGTTTCTGGAGTTCACGCGTGCATGCATCAGGGAGCTGATCTTCCGGTTTCCTGCATGTGCACACATGCGCGCATGCTCCAATTTCAGTACTCGGTGCTGAAAAGGTTAGTCACCACTGTTCTAGGGTATTATATGCCCATATAACTAAAGCACAATACTGCTGTTTTGTAGGCTCACTTCAGTAGTGTTTATCCTTATTGATCTGAGTTTGTGAACAACTTTCTGTTCTCTTGGGACTACTAATTTAGAATTATGTCTATTGTTTATCATGCTATGCACTGCTAGTCAATCCAAACACCATTGATATTTATGCTAGACCCTGCAGGTTACAAATTCTTAGGAGTACTAAGTGTAAGACTGTTGGGGCCCAATTCCAATTAAGTATTTTTGCTCAGTATTTAGTGTCATAAGTAGGTCAACATTAAGTAGTCTCTGATGGAAGACTAGAAACTGAATGAAGTTATGATCTGAAAATGTACCTTCTTCTGAATTCCATAAGGACTATATTTCAACTTATCTCGTGATCTTCTTCTCCATAGAAATCAGGATTCCTTCTGAGTCTTAAGGGTCTACAGCTGAAGCTCCTAAGAATGAGGCCATGTACCTTCAGCCCCTTTGTCCCTTTTTTGATGTCACTATGATTGTTGTCTATCTTTCTCCTATATCTCTTATTTTTAGATCTATTAGTTATCTTATTCTTCATTTATCACATAAATATGAAGTTCACAAGTCTGCAGAGGGTGGCAAGAGAAGCATTAATCTGATAGACTTCTGGAATTAAAGTAACTGCCTCTCCTTTTTTATCACCTGACCTGGGGCAACCTATGTTCTTCATTAGCTGGTGTAGGGTTGTCTATAACTGTGCTTTGCTGACTATCACTTTTGAAAGGCCAGGTAAATTGCCTGGGAATGCCATGTTCTGTGTGAGTAGAGAGGACATAATGAGGATTTGTACCTTGTCAAATGCTAGGAGCTAAACTAAAGGATACTGGGTTTTGCAGTACACAGTGGAATGCAGTAAGTATTGCTAGAGGAATAAGAGTTGTGAACTAGTTCACAGCTCTTATTCCTCTACCAATACTCGCCTCTAGTACCCTTCAGTTTTCCCAGAGTCATTTTGTCAACAGAGTAGAGGGAAATCCAACTACTAATCCGCATTTTAAATTGGACAGGTTGGGTGTTGCTATACGCTCTTCCAACCTCTAAAAATAGTTCACCTTCTGCTTTTTCTCTGGAAAATGTACATTATTTTTTCAGCTCCATCATTCTGATATTTCCAAGCTGATACAAAAGTCTGTAACAGTGCCATTTGAATAAACATTTGAGGAGCTGACCTTCAGCAGTATACTAAGTTGTTATAGAAGCTTGCTCTAGAAACCAAGCTAGTTGCACTTAGCATGAATCTAATTGATTCATCTCTGCATCCCTTAGTGCTACTACAGAATTACAGGATTGAAACAGATCAGTGAAAATGAAACATTATAACATTACATAATCATATGCTCCAATATAATCTTTCTCTAGAATGTTATTTACATGTAGATAATGTATGTTATCTACATATAACGTAAGACCAGCAAAAGTGTTTCTTCGCAGATCAGACATAGTTTTATGGATGTTGTAGGTCAACATAACTTGAATCACTAAATTCAAAAAGGTTGTTCCTGAAGGAAACAAATCATTATAAATCATGCATCAGATGTATGTGTGTGTGCCTAAGTATATATGTATATGTGTGTGTGTGTGTGTGTGTGTGTGTATACACACACACACATGTATGTATGTATGTGTGTGTGTGTATGTGTATGTGTATATGTATGTGTTTTCTTAAGTCTTCGCGGGTACTTACATGTATGGTATTCAGCTTTGTTCGGGTATTTTCCCACGTTGTGCTTTTAAAGTTGTAGCAACGTTTCGGCAGAATTTCATCTGCCATCATCAGGCTTCCTGATGAAGTCTGATGAGATTTTGCCGAAACGCTGCTACAACATACAGTCTAGTATTTATATGATATGAGACTAATGCCCAGATAAGCATCCACTGAGTTCCTGGGGAGCTATTTTATGGACCTTTTACCTCATAACAACTATAAAAGAATGCTGATCACATTCACAGAATTGTGTTTATTGCTAGAGCGAGTAACTTGCAATAAACTGCATTCTGAAGTTGCTGAAAAGAGCAATATCCACGCCAAGCTTCACCTGCAACCCTCCTGTACGAGAGTGACGGCCAGATATTCTACCGATCGCGCAATACAGGCAAGGAGCTACTTAATCTACAAAGGTGTCAGCTAGCCTGTCTACAAGGGGTCTGGGCGAACCTACAGAAAACACTGCGGGGCTCTGACGTGGAATAGATCCTCACAAACTGCCCGGAGCTTCTTCCACGAGCTTCTTCGTCCAAAGCCGAAGAAGCCGAGGAACGGGCATTACGAGAGCCAGGCTTCGCACGGACTCTTGAGAAAGGAAAAAAAGAGGTCCACGCACGACTACCCCTCGACCTCCGGGCCTAAGAGAATTTTCATGTCTTAAATTAAAACCTTGGCTGGAGAGGGGGGGGCGGTTGCGGAAGAGAAATGAGCGCAGTATGTTTACCTCCGTCAAGCCGCGGCCGCTTCAGCTTCACATCGCCTCCTTTCTCGTCCGCCATTTTTTCTCCTCCTCCTCCTCCCTGCCCCGCCGCTACTGCGCCGTGAGTATGCGCAGTGAATAAGTCCTCCCACGATCCATCCGGGAAAGTCAAGAGGGGGCAAAAAGGAGCTTGTGTTCCTAATACTGAGCTGGTTGTTAGGGCTTTCCCCGCTTCTGCTACTTTTTTGGGGGAAACCCGCTGTTTTCGGTTGTAAAGGTGGCCGTTAAAGAGCTGCGGCAAACATTTGATTTGCTCGACTGCCCTTTTGATTGGACACGACGTTACCGTGTAGTTTCTTTCTCAAGCACATAACAGACAAACCGGTTAGGTTCAAGAAATGTATTATTTGTAATTATCGTCGAAAAAAAATCTGTTTCATAATACAAGAAATTATCGGAAAGGAAGTGTGGTACTACAAACCTGATATTGCTGATCAAACTATATCCCTGTTTGTGCGCGCACACACACACAAAATCCAAGACCCATGACTCCCATGGAATTGAAACTTGACAAATGTTATAAAACATGACATACACATTATAAAACATTTTGACATAAAAATTAATAAAATATTTCCTGTGATCAACTCCTGATGTTTAACTATGCTACATGGGCTATTTAAAAAAAAACATATCTCAACATGTTTTTCTGGTGAAGACGACATTAAAAGTTCTGTCATTGTTGAATCTGGTAAGGCAAAGATGACCAATCATGGGTTGAGTGTAAAATATCAATTTGTAAACTTGAAGTATGAATTACTGGATTGTAGCACAAAGTCAGCAGCTAAAACTATTTCAGCAAACAATATATCTGGTCAAAAACCTGGCATAGGCACAGCTTCCATCAATGTCATAGAAAGCTATGATTCTGTGTGGCGAAGCTTTAGTTTGACTTGAGCTCCACTGTATACCAGTGGTTGACAATTCATTTAGTGACTGTTGAAAGTTACCACAAAAAAGTGGCATGACCGTTTTTCACATTTATGGCCATTACAGTGTGGGAAGCCCTCTCCCTGAAGAATGAAATATTTTGAGGAATATTAAAAAGGCAAGATATTATATTTCCCTAAAGGACAAGTGGACAATCATGCTCTTAAAGACAGAAAGCAGACTTAGAGTTTTTTAGTAGCCCCCAGCAGATATTTTGTGCCCATTAAGAAAGATTGGGCCAGTCTATTCAGAAACCAGCCCCAAGCAGAAACTGAGGAGGCTAGCTTTTAGAAATGCAGATTTGGTAATCAATTCAAAAAGACTGGGTCAAGACAGAAACTCAGAAAAGCAACAAACAAAAGGTTGACAAAATTAGCTCAAACAGGTAAGATTTGCATTTCCTGTTTTGCTTATAGAGCCAGCTATGACCCCTGTGTCTGACAACAGTAATAGAATATTAAAGGACATGTTCTTGCATTGAAACAGGAAGTTCAAAAACAAAGCCCAAATAAAGTATAACCTCCCCTCAACTCCATTTTATCAGCTGTTCAGAAACATATGTGGTTCTGCTTCATCAATAAACCATCTTTCAAATCATCCTCTTATTATTAATTAAACTTAACTGCCTATCTCCCTCATAGAGGGGCTCTGGGTGGGATAAAAGCAGTAACATTCCAAGACAATTCAATTATAGGTCACTTATTTTAAAATGTATCAGGCTCATTCTACTTCAGGTTGACTCTTGGTTAAGTGATGAACATGTTCATGAAATTAATTTGTCACTGAATTCTATATTTTTTAACTTTCCATTTTCACCTCAGTCCTTGTATTTCTCAATAAATTCCTACATGACCCAGCTTTTTTTGCGATTAGCCCAGGCCAGGTACATATTACTACAATAAGGCCAATAAAGGAATAAAATGTTAAGCACATCAGAATACTAGATATTCAATTTTCAAACTGTTCTGCAGAATTCTAGGGTTGTGTGAGGAAATTGATGGGATTCTGTGGAAAGCAAGCAGGATAAAAGTGTTCAGCCAAATGCAGCCACACATATATTTTTTTTCAAAGATAACAAGAGTGGGACATGCCACCCGACATTTACAAGTCCTGTCCCCCAGGAAGTAAGTTAAACTCATCACAACTCATTGCTTTGCCTCTTGATCAAGGATACTAGGTTTTTCTTTTTTATTAGCAGGTTTTGTAACTTGAAGTGTGACATACATACACACCCAACAGTTGCCAAGCAGTGCTAAAACTCAGCAGAGGTACCATGTAAGCATGTTAGGACAGACAGAACAAGACAAAGAGGATCTGACTTCTCTTAAATGTGTTCACTAATATAATGATATATTACTAAAATATTATGCCAACAGCAGAACATTTTTAAAGACAAGAACTTTGCATGGAAAATTATTTTGTGCATGAAACAAATGTATTTTAGCTCAAAAGTTCAACTGAACCATTCTGAACAGTGACAGTTCAGCCAACTGGTTGCAACTCTCAGGAGAGACAAACTCAGAGGTATCACATGGAATAATGGGGCAAAGCTGGTGGGATTTTTTTTTCCCCACTCTATTTTCTCTGCATGATTTATGCATCATTCACCATCTGATCTTCCTAGTTCTATAAAAAAATATAAGCACTATTAGAAAATAGGCCCAATACAATTATCCTTAAGTAAACCAGCCACATAGACACAAATAGGTGATAAATATGGAAAATCAGTGTGTACAACTTGGATTTCTAACTTTTTAAGATTCTGTATTCCATGTACTGTGAACAATTTAGCCAAACAATATACATAATACCGTAAATTTGCTTGTATTACACATGAATAAAAGTTAATATTTATAGCATTGGCATATGTTCTTAGCAACAGCCATTAAAAAGCTAAAACAAACATATTCCTGCTTGTCAATGTATTTTCACTGGATTAAAGGAATCAATTTTCCACACTATCAGCACCTTTCTTCCAAATAAGTGCTGCCACTGCCACTGCACTTGAAACGTGGCACATTCTACCAGCCTCCTGATCTTTCTTCTGATATTCTTCACATCTTCCTTTCCTTTAGCTGCAATGGGGCCCTGTGGTGATCTGTAAATATGAACATATGTTGGACCAAATATAGATAATCCCAAACTGGTGTTTTTGTGAAAAGAAGGGGCATTGGTAGACTGTGAATGCCCTTTCTAAACATGCTGCAAGAGAGTCCAGCACTGGATATGACTCCACCCTCTGATGTCATCAAGCTGAGTCTGCCACTATAAAAAGCTAGCCTCTGCTAAGAGCCCCAGTTTTTCTGGCAAAGAAGTTGACAGTGTCTCTGGAAAACAAAAACAAAACAGTGAGAATAACCGCCCCTCAAAGGAGACTAGACGGCAGAGGGTAGGGCTGGGTTGTCTTGCAGTGTGCTTAGAAAGGGTGTTCACTGGTAAGTCTACCAACGCCCCTTCACCACGCAGCTTCGAGAGTCCAGCACTGGACATACCAAATCCTAAATGGCCCAGGGAGGGCCTCTGTCTGGCCCTATCAATCCAACACTGGAAGCATTCTCTGAAGTACCCTTCGTCCAAATGCTGCTTCTGCAGAGGCAAAGGAATCCAGCCAATAGTGCCAGATAAATTGAGAAGGTGAATTCCAGGTAGCGGCCTTACAAATCTCGATAGGTGCCTGGGTAGCCCAGGCCGCCAAAGTCACTGCACTCCAAGTAGAGTGTGCTGTCAGTTTCTTGGGAACTGGCAGGCCCAAGGTCTCATAGGCGGTAGAAATGCACACCCTGATCCATCTGTTCAACATGGGAGAAGAAGCCTGAGAACCCAAGAAGACAGGTTGGAAGGACACAAACATTATTGCAGTTTTGCGAAAGGGAGCAGTGTGTTTTATATAAATCTGGAGCACCCTTCGCACATCCAATGTGTGCCACTTCTCTTCCCACACATGTTGAGGCCTGGACAAAAGTCAGGAAATACAATATCCTGTGCCCTATGGAACCAAAAATTAATCTTTGGCACAAAGGAAGGGTCCAAACACAACAGTACCCAGTTATCATGGAAAATATAAAGATCATGCCTCACAGAGAGGGCCGCCAGTTCAGAAACCCTCCTGGCCAACATGATCGCCACCAGGAAGGTCACCTTGAACATCAAGGGATGAAGGCCCACCGTCTGTAAGGGTTCAAATGGTGGACCCCTCAGGGTCTGAAGCACTGTAGGGAGGTCCCAAGTGGGATACTTATGGATGATGGAAAGATGCATATTAGTGGCTCCCTTCAAAAATCTATGGATCAGGGGGTGATGGGAGAGAGATGAATACTTATCCCATGACAGGACCAATGCTAAGGCCACCACCTGATGGCGGAGGGTGTTTGGCATGAGCCCCTTGTTCAACCCGTCCTGGAGAAACTATAACACTTCAGGGACCAATGCCGAAGTAGGGTCCCAGGACCTCTCAGAGCACCACCCACAAAACTTCCTCCAGGTGGTATCGTAAAGCCTGTTGGTTGATGGTTTATGAGATGCCTGGATGGTCTCAATAACCCTGTCCGATAGGTTGGACTCCCTCAACGATTGCCACTCAAACACCATGCAGCCAATTGGAACCATTGGGGTTCCAGATGTAGAAGGGCCCCTTGACTGAGTGAATTCTGTTGGCCGGGATTCTCCACCGATTCTGAATCAACAGATTCACTAGGTCGGCGAACCAGGGCCTCCTGGGCCAATGCAGCACCAAAAGTACTAGCTCCACCTTCTCTTCCAACATCTTCTGAATGATGGCTGGAATGGTTGGAAAAGGGGGAAAGGCATAGGGGAGACCTGGAGGCCCACTTGCTCCAAAATGCATTCGACCCCTCCGCCCCCTGGGTCAGAAACCTGAAGGAGAACCTGCCTACCTGTGCATTCTGGGAGTGGTGAATAGGTCCACCACTGGAGGTCCAAATCAGAAGGACTACTCTTGGACAGGGATGGATGGAGGTTCCACTCTGAGTGGTCGACTTGAGTTCGACTCAACCAGTCTGCCTGAGAGTTGTCGACCCCAGAGATGTGGTCTGCCCTGAGGGACAGAAGGTTCCTCTCTGCCCACTTCCCCAGATGTTCTGCTTCCCACCTCAGGGCCCTGGAAC